TATCCCTGTCCATATACTAACTATACTGTCAGTGTGTCTCTGACAATATCACTGTCCATATACTAACTATACTTCCAGTGTGTCTCTGACAATATCACTGTCCATATACTAACTATACTGTCAGTGTGTCTCTGACAATATCACTGTCCATTTACTAACTATACTTCCAGTGTGTCTCTGACAATATCACTGTCCATATACTAACTATACTGTCAGTGTGTCTCTGACAATATCACTGTCCATATACTAACTATACTTCCAGTGTGTCTCTAACAATATCACTGTCCATATACTAACTATACTGTCAGTGTGTCTCTGACAATATCACTGTCCATATACTAACTATACTTCCAGTGTGTCTCTGACAATATCACTGTCCATATACTAACTATACTTCCAGTGTGTCTCTGACAATATCACTGTCCATATACTAACTATACTTCCAGTGTGTCTCTGACAATATCACTGTCCATATACTAACTATACTTCCAGTGTGTCTCTGACAATATCACTGTCCATATACTAACTATACTTCCAGTGTGTCTCTGACAATATCACTGTCCATATACTAACTATACCTTCAGTGATTTTTTTGACAGTCAATCTGTCCAACTAGCAACTTTAGTATGCCTTCTAGCTATGCACTGTCTGGCTAACAACCATGTCAATTTCTGGTAATAACACTATTGCTCTCCTTATATATGATAATTTAGTCTCTGGCAATGAAACAATTCTTCTCCAAACCATATGAAAAGTTAGTCTCTGGTAAAACAATTGTCCATAAATTTAGTGGTCAGCTTGATACTTCCAGTGGAACCCCAGCTATTTAACAGAAACTGCAGGTCCTAATTACAAAACAAATAGTCTTATGTGGCCTGTCAGAATGGTCTTATGTGGCCTGTCAGTTGCTACATATCAAATGTTACAGCTCCCAGTCACACAGTCAAGTTGTAGGCAACAACACAAAATGTAACACTGAAATCAATTTTTATGAGAGAAACAATGCATGCTTTTTTTTTTTGGCAAGATGAGAGAACGTGTAATGATGTCAACGACTGGAAGAACTAGATAAGGCAAACCTCACTGTGCATTCTTGATCGACACCTGTATGCAGACACACAATAACAGTCAACTCATATGCAGGGAATCAACTGAGCAGGTTAATTGCCTGTTCATTCATTCTATTGTGCCATTATCTGTCTGACAGGGTTCACAATATATTTCTCCATTCCTTTCTATTCTGTGAAATTGCTGGGATATCATGGATGGAATCCATCCAGTACCTTTTGGCTTCTCTCGCCAATATTCGCCTTAGGGTGCTTCTTGAATGTCCTCATTTCCCAATTCAATGCCTGTCTGGTATTTCTTGAATCCTCTCTTCTCAATTGTGTTCAATACAACGACATCTTCTGTGTCTTCAAACTGCTGACACTACTGGTTATATGCCTATAGCATTTATATAGTGACTACTCTTGGGTTGCTGAATGTCGGTCTCTGAGACAGCAATTTCAGAGGAGAAAAGAAACCAGTTTCATGACAACTGCAGGCTTCCATATAGGCAGCAACAAGCGGATACACAGCTCCAGAGAAGTTGTAAGTTATTTAAGCTCTAGAGGGGATAATATTCTTTATGAAAAACTTATGGTCATATATTTTAGGTACCAACATACATTTTGCACTGTAGGGGTCCAACAGACACACCACACTGTGCTGTGAGTGTATGAACATATCTAACATCACGGTGTGTGGATACCAACATGCAGTTACACTGTGTGTCTTTCAACATGTACATCACATTGTGTGGGGTGCCAACACACAGATGACACTGTGTGGGTTCCATCATGCACATCATACTGTGTTGGTATCAACATACACGTCACACTGAATGGGTATCAATCTACAAGACACAGTATGTGGCCAGACTGTAGGCCAAATATCTGGATGTCAAACAATGATCAACATGAAAAACTCATAAATCATCTGGCTGCTGATTTCACATGTACTGGTTTTTTTTTTTTTTTAATCGAGTTGTTTATTGTTTATTTTGACAACTGATGTGGGAGTCAGGAAAGATGTAACAACTCAGTCATTGAGAGGTTTGGCTTATGTTGCTGCAGAAATAAGTTTAAATCTAGACAGATGCTGACAGGACTTTGGTTTGGGCATCCGATTCTTAACTGGACGCTAGAAATATGGGGATGAATGGAACTGAGCATTCACACCCTACCATCACCTAGCATGTGTGAAACCATGATTTCACAGCTTTACACCTGTATCAAGTTCAATAATACCTGGGAAATGGCTATTTAACACTAGAAGAAAGGGGGAGGGGGATAATTTGTGTCAGCAATTTCTCATTTCTCATATGTCTTACATGAAATCTCTTTACTGTGAATACAAAATCTTACAAACAATTGAAATGTTAAAATATGGCAACAATAACATATTTGTAACAATTATGTTAACCTTGTAAATAAATTTAGGAAAAACTGAACAGATTTTGCCAGACTTAATGAACACCATGGGACATGTGTAAAACATACAAGTTCTTTCACCCAACAACACCTTGTGATTCACACACAACTTCTATCCCCTAAAAACACACTTCTTTCACCCAGAAACACCTTGTGGTTCTCTCACAACTTCTTTTACCCAAAAACACCTTGTGATTCACACACAACTTCCTTCACTCAACAACACACAAAAAACAGTACAATCCTCAAGCTGATACTTATGAGAAGTGGACCACACGAAACAAAACCAGCCGCAGGTCAGCCAAAATGTACATATATATGAGAAATGTGGGGCAAACACAACAATTTTAATCATCGTCCTTGAAAAATAGGAACAGATTTGTGAACACTTTACTTAATGTGGTAGGGGGAAGTCAGAACTAGATAAAGTTATGATCAACTGATAATGCTCTAATTAACAGTTCTAGGATGGTCAGGAACCAAGGAGAAATATGATCAACTGATACATCAACACTAGAAAAATTAGGAACCAAGGAGAAATATGATCAACTGATACATCAACACACTATTTAACAAATCTAGAAAAATTAGGAACCAAGGAGAAATATGATCAACTGATACATCAACACACTATTTAACAAATCTAGAAAAATTAGGAACCAAGGAGAGATACGATCAACTGATACATCAACACTCTATTTAACAAATCTAGCAAAATTAGGAACCAAGGAGAGATACGATCAACTGATACATTAACAGATCTAGAAAAGTTGAGGGAAAAAATTGTAAATATGTCAAAACTAAATAAGAAATCTAGAACGGTCAGAAACTAAGATATGAATATATGAATAACCAAAACATCAGAACTGTAATCACTGTCCTGGAGGAAACAAAAAGTGAAGAAATGGGAAAGCACCCACCAGAACCCTGACCATTAGTTTTGGTATTCAGAAAATGATCAACAACCCGTCAACCGATAGAAATATAACAATCAAAACTAGGTAAACTTAGTTGCGTATCCTTCGCAGAGCCAACCACAGCATTTTTGTGATTTCACTAGAAACTGTTTACATTCAGTAGTTAAAACTAGTACTCAAGTTAAAATGTTCTGCAATAAGGTCAAAACAGTACTGCTGTGTGGAGTTGAAATATGGTGAACAACTAAAAACAACTTCTAACAAACTACAAACATTCATTAACTGGTGGTTGACCGTAACAGTGAATCAAATGATATGAGAGAATCACTAATGCAGGGCTTTGGGAGAGAACTAAACTAATTCCAGTCTATTAAGAAGTCAGAAAAAAAGATGCTGACCCATGTTAAGAAAACTTGATAACTAGAATGCCTTTACAATGGAGCCCAGAAGGTGAAAAGAATAACGGCAGACTGAAAAACTATGAGAAAGGAACTAGGAAGTAAAGTTAAAAAGACAGGTGAGCTGCATGTGATAGCAGCAAAGGATAGGACAACTTGGCCTGAGTTAGATGAGGGCCTGTGCTCCACTGGGAAATAAAAGGCAGAAGAACACTGACCATCATTCTAACCAGTGGCTGACTCAGTAACTCAGTAACTGTGTACAGACATCATAAACTGATGTGGCATGCTCCCACAGACCACAGTCATCTTCTCTAGGAAGATACAGCTTTCTTTAGTCATAATGCAAACCACTGGTGACTAATGTAATGGAGGATTCACAAACTTTCCAGAAACAACTCACCTTCTGGCATATTTTCTTCCACTGTCAACCAAATCAAAAACAGAGTAAATGCATTTCTATTCCAGTGAACGTTAAATAGAAATCCAACAAAAAACAACAACATAATCAACTGGTTTTGTGATATCTTTTTAAAATGTAAAATTTAACAAGCCCAGTCTTCAAATCTCTTCATACACTGACACAAGATATCTGGACACTGTACAATGGTAACTGACCTAATAAAACACCAGGGGCACTCAGAAAGCAATGCCCCCACATTCTTCTCTGTTACAATCTGTTTGTACATTATGATCTCTATCCACTTCTATGAACGAACACCAAAGACAAACAAGGGCATGTACAGCTTGCCTTGATCAGGTTTTGCCTCTTCACGGAGAAATTTTCCCACAGCACAAATACCATCCTCAGGTCTGACACTCTTCGCTTTCAGAAGCTTGAATTCTCTGAACCCTGTGACCAACAATGCTCCTACTGACTGCCCAAATTCCATAGACAGCAAATAATTTGTATGAATGTTCAGGTTTCATTTTCAGTAACCAGAAATTTTGTTGTCTATAAAACTCACCCCTTTATTTTATTTGATTAGTGTAGCTGTTCTTTTCTGTCATGATGAGCTGCCATTTCGTACATACAATATTCACATTTAAAGAAGCAACATTTCAGGCTTCTATCTTCATTATTCACTGGTGCTGGGTGGGGGGAACAATATGTAAGGCATAACTTTCTGAATGCCTCTCTTAACTATCTGAGACCACTGTTTGAAGGCAAAGCACACTACTGATGCTTTTAATATTAACATGTAGAGTTCTCATTTCTTCTTAGACATCATCTTCTTCTGTTCCTTTTCCTTCATCTTTCTTTCCTTCTCTTGAAGCTTCTTTTCTCGCTCGGCATTAGTCCGCATTTCTTTGATCTTTTTCTTCAATGTTTCTCTATCCTTGCTGCTGACAACTCCCACAGTCTGTAGATAAAGTGAATGTCATTTAAGAGATCTCTCCACATCATAGGGTGTCATGATGACGTGTACAGTACAGAGAGCAATGATAATGACAGATGTGATAGATTTTGATAAAAGTAAGTGGACCCCTTCTCATACCAGTGGCACATATCTTCTTATTCATCATTCATAATGACATAAAGGCATCCTGCCTGTTTATATTTATACCTTTTGCTTGACACATTCACATTTTTAGGCTTTTGTTATCCAGGTTAGTCTTCCCAGTTAGTATTGTGGGCATTTGTAGCTTCAGATGTGTGGTGACTTCGTTATTCCCTCTAAAGGACCCGCCACGGCAGCCATGTGGACCCTTATGGGAAGACGGAGCAGAGCATAGGCATTCCCCACCATCCAAGGAGACTTCTATCAATCTAGAGCCAATATATGGTTCTTTGATACTGGGCTCATTCAGTGAATTGTCATGTCCTGCACATGCAACTACTTAACCTCAAGTATGTATATTAAAACTTCCACTAATTAAGGACTGCACACTTCAGGGATCCCCAGGATGTAGTCTGCAGACCTTGGACTCCGTGCACAAATGGGTATCATCTCATTTCTTCAGCATGTTAGACTTCTTTGACAATAGAACCTTTCATGTGGATGCCCTGACACTTTTAACTGCATTTATGGAAAGCATATGTCAGACATGGCTTCCCTGTGTGGTATTAAATTTACATTCCGACAGGTGTGGCAATTGGTAGCGGACATTTGAACCTTTTATGTCATAAAATATGATCTTTGAGCTCGGGACACCTGAACCTTTGCTGCCATACATTAGGATACTTCAATGGATGGACATCTGAACCTAAGCAGCCATACAGTAGGAGTCTCCAGTGATGGGCATTTCAATCAAGGTTTGTTATATCATAGGACTTTAGGATGACAGACATCTGAACCTAAGCAGCCATACAGTAGGAGTTTCCAGTGATGGGAATTTCAATCAAGGTTTGTTATATCATAGGACTTTAGGATGACAGACATCTGAACCTAAGCAGCCATACAGTAGGAGTCTCCAGTGGTGGGCATTTCAATCAAGGTTTGTTATATCATAGGACTTTAGGATGACAGACATCTGAACCTGAGTTTGTAATTAAGTAGGGTACTCAGGTAGCAGGTTTCACTCATGTTCCTATTGAGTTTTCTGGGGCCCTGGAATCCAGAGGGGGTGACGAATATAATGATGGATACAGAAACAGAAATACAGTGACAGATGAAAGGAGACCAAATTATAGAGACAGACAAAAGGAGACAAGATGAAGGGAGACAGAAGTATAGAGACAGATGGAGGGAGACAAAAGTATAGAAACAGATGGAGGGAGACAAAAGTATAGAGACAGTAAAAAAGAAAGAAAAAAAAAGTAGTTACAAAAAAAGAAGAAGAAGAAGAAGACTAGCATACATAGAGAAGGTGAAGGAAGAAAAAAGTATATAGACAGATGACCTAATCAACAAATGAATGCACACAAAAATCAAGAAAAGATTAAAGGTAAAATATCTATAAATAGAATTCAGCCCCCTCCACCCTTGGTCTACCTTCATTCTTGTGTAAGACACTGCTGCTGGCTTCCTTCCACTCTCTATTTGCTCACTCTTCCCTAACTACCCTGCATCATTAGCCAACTCTAACATCCGAACCCTCACCTTTAGCTTGGAAGTATCCAGGTGTAACAACTGGCTCCCTGTGACACTCTTCTCTCGGAAGCTGACAGTGTATTTGTCAAAATCAAGGGAGGTAAGCCACAGGCAAACATGCTCAGTGCTCCACTCAGTGATGGAACCTGGGAGAAACTTATTTTGGCTGTGGTTCTGTTGACTGTCCTGTGAAAGAACAACCCAAAATTGAAGAATCTATATGTTGCTACATACTTAAGCATTTCTAATAACACATCAAAGGACATCATCATCCTCATGGGCCCTGCCGATAATCACAGACCAGGGCTATTCAACTAAGTTTACTCAGAGACTAACATTTGGAAGCTGAGGATAGTCACCGACCAGAGGACATGGAGCCCAGGCACAAAAAAGATTATTAGTACAATACAACTGGCAATGACATGTCGGCCACTTGCTGGGCCTCTGCCGGCCAAATCTGGATGGTCATGTTCTGCTTTCTCACATGATCACCAGAATCATGGATCAGGCCAGTGCTCATGTCTCACCCCATCCACATGGCCAGGCCATCTCTATATTAATCTCCGCCTTCCCCTTGCTATTTTCACCAATCTTGTCAGTTGTAACCAAGTTCCCGAGTCCATTCCATAACATAACATGTCCAAAAAAAGCACTAACTGTCTGCATCTAAGTTCTCCAATCAGTTTAATAATGGACAAATACGGAGCTTGCTACCTGATCTCAGCTTCAGATTTGTTTGGAACCTAAACGAAAAAGACAGACAGTTGGACATGCCAGACAAAGCAACTTTTGCAATGACCAGAAATAAACCAGACACGTCACAAGACAGCAAATAACATCTTCTTCTTCGTCTTCTCCCTACAGTCCACATCATGCAGTGTTGGAATCACTGTACAGCAGAGCAGGCAATACAAATGAATAAACAAAACAGACAGCAGAGATTCAAACTAGGGCTGTACCGAATAGTGATTTTCACTATTCGGCCGAATACGAATAGTGGGACCAACTATTCGGCAAAATACGAATAGTGTGTCATCATCATCAGGTGCCTTGCCGACTGGTGTTGGCGATTTCGCATGTGGGGATAAATACAAAGACAATTTTTAGCAAGCTGCGGTTGGCATTTTATGCAGTATAATACACTTTGAGTGTGAAACGAGGAAAAAAAACACTTTTTCGACAGTGGTGAGGAAAGACAATTTAAATTTTAACTTTCAAGTTTCTTCATGCCTTCTTTAACTAAATCTGTCGTAGCGGGAAAAAACTGTGACCCGGTTGCGTGGTAACAGCGCCTGCTGACTCCTCCAAGGCATTACAGCAGAGGTTCTGAAATTGGGTGCGTATGCCAGGGGTGCCGCAGCGAAAATCAAGAAAAGTCAGCTATAAATTGTGACATTATTATATTAATGAGAGAGTTATTTCAGTCAATCGCAGTGTATACAGAAATCACTATTCGTATTCGACCCGAGCGCCACTATTCGGCCGAATACCGAATAGCTATTAGGTCCATTATTCGACCCGAAGCGAATATTCGGTACAGCCCTAATTCAAACCATACAGGTTTAAAGATATGGTGCCCATCTCTGGCCTCAGATATCATGTGCTAGGCTGAGAAGTGTGGCTGATCATGATTTGCAAACATAAAATTGCAGGTCTCCAGTCAGGATGTTGTGTTACTGCCCTGGTTAAGGCATGTAAACAAGCCAAGCATTGAAGCAGCATTGACCATGTGTAAACTGGGGGTCCTCCCACAGTTAAAAACTGTAACTAGCAGGCTGACCACTTGACTCAATTAAACCATTAGGAAAATAACTTATAACTGAATATTTTGTTCATATTAATTCTTGTTTCCGCTTGTTAGTTAGCCAACAGATTATTCTCACTGCACATCAAACCATTTTGTCCATTAGTGCTCGGATCCCCTCTTCAGTAAATCCTGCAGCGGGCAAGAATTTCACTCATGGCACCCTTAGAATGTCGCTCTTATCACAGCACCCTTAGAAGGTCGCTCTTGTCATGGCACCTTTAGAATGTCGCTCTTATCACAGCACCCTTAGAAGGTCGCTCTTGTCGTGGCACCCTTAGAATGTCGCTCTTGTTATGGCACCTTTTGAATGTCGCTCTTATCACAGCACCCTTAGAATTTCGCTATTGTCATGGCACCCTTAGAATGTCGCTCTTGTCATGGCACCCTTAAAATGTCGCTCTTGTTATGGCACCCTCAGAATGTCGCTCTTGTTATGGCACCCTTAAAATGTCGCTCTTGTCATGGCACCCTTAGAATGTCGCTTTTGTTATGGCACCCTTAAAAGTCTCCTGTTGTCTAGCTAATCTATTCTCCAGCCTTGTGCACTTTCATAACCAATGCATTGTCCTTCAATGTCTTCGATCTGCCTCTGACGAATTTTCTGGAAAATGTCACCCCCCCCACCACCAATGTCCTCTCTAGGCTCATTAGACAGCAGATAACTTCATATTATCACAGTCCATGGTGTATGGTATCAGTAATCATAGTTGTCCCCATCCCTCAGTCTTTTGTGCCGTCAATCATTTCGGATACAGATGTACTTCTATGCCAAACTGTCAAACATATTCTCTATTAGTCTCCTTCTGCCTCTCTTCCGCTTCAACTTGCCCTATGTCATGACAAACCTCAGTCTCCCCCCTCACCCCCCCCCCCCTTCTCTCTCTCTTTCTCTCATAGCTAGCACAAACAACTAAAACAACATAAAGACACTACAAACCTCTCTGGCAGGAGACCCGGTTATGTTGAAGACGTACTTGCCAGAGCTGTCCACATCTGGCTCGCTGACCATCAGGTTTGAGATGATGTCACTGTTGACACTGGAAGCTGTGGTGGCAACAAAAAGTATCAGTCAATACATCGTGTCCAGGTACAGATCTGTATACAGGTAAATGAATCAATCATTGTCATCACTGTACTCGGGACATTCCCATATGTGCTCTGCTCCCTTCCTCAGCAGCCAAGGAAGAGTCCCTGTGTTAACTTTTCCTACTGCAATCTGATTTAAAGTTGGCCTATGTCTTCCCCTCAGTTTTGTATATCGTCCAGAACTTCTGCTGAATCAACCAATCAAAGTGTGGACACTCTATGTGATCTGTTTTATTGCCACTTTATCCCAGAGAGCCTTCATCACATCCGCTTTATCATAAAGTAGCTCAATTCTAACAGGAACAAATCTACTGACCTACCTACTCTTTACCCTGCACACACCCGATTGTCCAGGACAGAAAATCCATATGCCCCCGGTATGAGTCAAGGGATGCAAACCACTCCATGCAAGGAAGCCAGTTTATATTTTCCAAAATATGTGTACTAACAATAAAAAATAAAAAAAAAGGTGTCAGATTAATATTTTAAAGAGCTGATTCTCTAAGGCTGATTACAGAAGCAACCTGTACTTTCCAGAATATTATCGGCTTATTTTAGACTACCTTGACCTGGAAACCAAATTTGTACAGACAAAAAAACAAAAACACCGAATAAAATTCCTGACACTCCTTTATGCAAAAGTGCAGGTTTAAACCCAAGACCACTGGACTAACAGGCAAGCATCTAGCTAATGCTCTACCATGGCTCCCATTCTTACAAGTGCAAGTCGACCTGAAGATTTTTAGTTCAAAATTCTTTTTTCGGCCCTTACCTACCTACCATCTTTCGGTGCTTTCTTAATATCCTACCCCAAACAGGGAAAATCCACAGGTCATGGGACAGTCTAATACTTCAGGGGGTGGTAGATATGCTGCATGCAGTCATGGGACCTAGGCTGCACTCTCTCGTGGGACGTAGGTAGGTTGGGGTTATGGCCAGTTCTAGATGTTTTGGAGTCATAAAAGCATTAGAAAGCCGGGAACCCCAGTCTTATCCTCAAAAATGTTGGACTGTCCTGTGACATCATCTGGGGTAGGATATTACAAAAACAAAACCAGATTTCATACCCGACATATAAGCCTTCCCCTTGTACTGGATAGACGTTTTGTTGTTGCAAGTTTTGAAAACTCGACTTATGGTAATACAAAAATATACAATTTCAAACAATGATGGGTACAATCAGGCTTGTGAAAACAAGGTAACTGAAAAACTGCAATAAGTGCATGTTAGAAAATACATGAGCATTTAGGATTTTTACAAAGCCAATAACTGTATGCTGGCACGGCACACAAAATAATAATTATTGTAACAACATCTACTAGAAGCAAATTAGTATAAAAATAATGATACAATACAACCACTGAGATATGGTATAAAACAAATATGGCTACCAAAAGACAAGCAAAACTGGAAAAAAAATAAGCAAAACTCAACAATAAACAAGCAAATTGATAGCAGATTTGTAGCAACTGATTAAGACTTAACAATGACGCTAACACACACAAGCTCATGCAACTATTGTGACCAAACAGTCACTGATTGAAGGAAGAAGACTGGCATGCTGCAGGAAAGAAGTCAAGAGAGTGAGGAAGCTGATACGCATGGGTGTCCACAACCTTCTTCTGTCTCATGTACCGTCAATCACTCAGGCCATCCAGGTTTAACCCATGACCCCTGTGAAGCAACTACAGAGACAGGTCTGTGCAAACATCTATGAGATCATTCTCTTTCTGCAAGTGTGCTCAGGACAGTGAATACAAGAACTATAAGCAGACAAGTTCTTTAAGGGTTAATAGATGAATTGTACACAGAATGTGAGCAGACAGTGTGTCTGAAGACTGAGCAGAAGACTGGTCGGAAGATTGTGAGCAGACTTGTGACTGTGGGTAGACATTGTGGTAAGACTGCAAGGAGACAGGTTGTGTCAAGACTGTCAGAAGCATGTAGAAAGACACTGTGTCAGGATTGTGAGGAGGACTGTAACAGGACTGTGAGGAGGACTATAACAGGACTGTGAGCAGGAAGAGTGTCTCAACCACCCCATCCTCTATACAAATGAGCAGAACCCTGAAACTCACCATCGTAGTCATGGAAACCAGTGTCCTGGTGTCTCCGAGAGAAAAGACTGACACCTGTCGAGTCAAGCCCTGGATCAGACGCCGAATGTTGATTTGCCAGTGGACGGTTGGATATCAACACTATACCCCCACTGCCGTCACCGCCTCTTTGTGTGGATTTCCAATTGAATTTGGGTATGCCAAAGCCTGTATCATGCATGCATTTGAGTTATGCAAATAGTGGGTGTGGCTAAGAGTATGTTAATCATGCAATCATAATACATAAGGGGTGCAAGGCAATCAAAAATAACAAGCAAATAATCAACTATTTTGTCTACCCAACCCCAAGTATTCACACACAGGTGCATCTGAAATGATAAAACATACCATACCGGTGCAGATCCAAAGAGCACCAAGAATTTAAGAATTGTAAAGACAAAAGTAAGAAATCGAGCAGGTGACTAGTCGCAATAAAAGAAAGTAAGGATGACTAGGATACATAGCTATGCTCAAAATTCATGGGCTTCTTGTCGGTGATGTTTACTCTCATCATCATCATGTAGCAGATCCTTTGCAGAACGTCGCTCTAATCATAGTCTGCCTGAAAAAAACTCGGTCTCTCACCAGCTCTCCTGCATTGTGCATTTTCCTACCCAAGGTGTCACTTATATCCATCCAGTGTCCATGTCGGCTTTCTGCCCCTCTTTCCTGGCACCATACCTTCTGTTATTATTTTTCCAATCCACTGTGACATTTGATATAGCCAAAATATTCCATTTCTAAGACAAAATGCTGTTTACCAGGCAATCTTCCCTGATGTTCAGATCTTTTAGGATGCCAGAATGTATTTTCATCTTTGTCAATGGTATTCTGAGAATCTTTCTACAGCACTTTAATTCAAAAGCCTCTTTTTTTTTTTTTTCTTAAGGACAATGCTTATTCTACGTTATAATTATAGTTAATAGAGTTTCATTTTTATTTCACCATTTTCAGTCTCAAAGTGGCTTGGAGATAACTGACTAGATGTAAGCTCAGGAAGGTCAGTTCCAGTGAAATGTCAACTGTTAAAGAGTCAAATGTTAGATTTGACTTTTGATTCCAGAAATATCAGCTGCTGGAAGTACCAACTGTCAGATCTGATATCTGAGCTAAGAAATGTCAGTTACAGTAAAATACAAAATGTCAGGTCTGATGATCTGCTCACCATCAGATCTTAATAAAGGCTTTAGGATAAGTATTACTGAATAAAATAATGTGGCAGTTTCCCCTTGCTTTCCACATCTATGTGGTTCGGGACCACCCGAGGATCAGTGGGCAGGCTACAGGGCCAACGTCAATAAATGCAAATAAATTGAATCAAGACAATCCCCAGAAGAAATCAGGTAGAGGGGATCTTACAATGCTACAGGTGGTAACCATACTGTAGTGTATTGTCAACAGTGACACCAACAGTAGTGTGTTAATGCAGACAGACCAAGTCATCACAACATGTTAATGGTCGCGGTGCTACTGACAGCAGTGTGTGATCAAGTGTGTTGTGTATCTGACAGTCATTATGTGTATGGCAATCTGTGATACTGACAGCAGTGTGTGATCAAGTGTGTTGTGTATCTGACAGTCATTATGTGTATGGCAATCTGTGGTACTGACAGCAGTGTGTGATCAAGTGTGTTGTGTATCTGACAGTCATTATGTGTATGGCAATCTGTGGTACTGACAGCAGTGTGTGATCAAGTGTGTTGTGTATCTGACAAGTCATTATGTGTATGGCAATCTGTGCTACTGACAGCAGTGTGTGATCAAGTGTGTTGTGTATCTGACAAGTCATTATGTGTATGACAATCTGTGCTACTGACAGCAGTGTGTGATCAAGTGTGTTGTGTATCTGACAAGTCATTATGTGTATGGCAATCTGTGCTACTGACAGCAGTGTGTGATCAAGTGTGTTGTGTATCTGACAAGTCATTATGTGTATGACAATCTGTGCTACTGACAGCAGTGTGTGATCAAGTGTGTTGTTATCTGACAGTTATTATGTGTATAGCAATCTGTGGTACTGACAGCAGTGTGTGATCAAGTGTGTTGGTATCTGACAGTTATTATGTGTATGGCAATCTGTGGTGCGGCTGATGTTAATTATGTTAAAGGTATTAGTATGTTAGCTGAATGTATGACATACGTTAATGGTGGTAGACAGAGATTATGAAGCTTCAAGCTGATTACAGTCTCATACTAATGATTATGGAAATTGATACTGATGATTATGGAATTTTATACTGATGATTATGGAAATTTATACTGATGATTATAGAAATTGATACTGATGATTATGGATTTTTATACTGATGATTATGGAAATTTATACTGATGATTATGGAATTTTATACTGATGATTATGGTGTTTGGTATTGATGAGTTCAGCATTTGATACTGCGGATTTGTTACTGATGATGATGTTTTATACTGATGACTATGGTGTTTGGTACTGATGAGTCTGGTCTTTGATACTGATGATTATGTTGTTTTATACTGATGATTATGTTGTTTTATACTGATGATTATGGTGTTCTATACTGACGATAATGGTGTTTTATACTGATGATTATAGTGTTGTTTTTTTAACTGATGATGATGATGCTTTCAATTAATGACAATGATGTTTTTTACTGATGATTATGGTATTTTATAGTTGTAATAATGGGAGTAGTTCAAACAAGCACAGTGAAAACAGCAACACTATACAAAGGAAGTGGTTCAAATAACAACACTACAGCGCATACAAGTAGTTAGAATATAACAACATTATAAGGCAGAAGGAATTAAACTCATAGTCTGAATACAGAGAATTAATGCAGAAAGTGTCAGAGACAGAGGAGAGCTTGAGTTTCCTGTACACTAATGGGCATCTGAGATGTTGCTGGATACAGATACATAATCATTTAAAATAAGAATTGTCAAATGTTGTGTAGACTCAACCCTGCTGTATAGTGCAGAAACCTGGACCATGAACAAGCAGCTAAAAAATCATACTGATCTCTGGAGATCTGGATATACAGAAGAGTTGGTGGTCTTTCCTGAGAACAAAACCTATCAAATACAGAGGTTGTGAAGAGACTTAGAATGAAGAACGAGTTGTTAAATTAAATAAAACAGAGACAAATTAAATATTTTGGTTATATAAAATACATAACGGGTGTGTGTGTTAAAGGCAATCATGAGGTAGACAGTGATACAAATAGGAAATTTCTTCCATAAAAGACAGAAGAACAGAAGAAAGAGAACATATATCCAGGGCAGAAGACAAGAGCATGTTAGAGATCAACTGGAGCCACATTTATGTGTGTAGATGGCACCTGGCTGTTTAGTACAGATAAGAGTTAAACTTTAAACTTTATGAAGAATTTTAAAACAGTAGGCTTTAACTATTTAAGGTCAAGCAATGGTGTGTGTGTGTGTGTGTTGACTGAGAAGTTCAGATTTGACCAAACCATAGTCTGCCTGGATTTTGTGTCCCATACATATTGATTCACATACAGCTCCTTATCGGTTTTAATGTTTGAACTGCCATTTAAATATTCAGAGAAGGTTGCTCTAATGTTTTTCTTTGTTTACAAGAATTTTTCATACATTAAGGTGCAAATTTATCCAATTCATTGCTAGCATCATTTTCAGACAGTAAATTTTCCGGTTTCGCCTCCGACTGGCTAATGTTCCGACACAAGCACAGGTCATAAAATGTGCCTTTCTAGGGCTGAAATTCTGAAACTGTTTCAGTCAGATGCTTTTAATTCTGATACTGATAAAGACAGCCTACATTTTTTGGTAAAGAGATTTGGACAGTGAATTTACACCAGCGGCAGCTGAGCGGTCAGCTGTTAGAGAATCTAGCAGTTCTGATGAGGTAAACCCAGGAGAAACCATTTTATGTGCGAAGAATATGATAGTCGCCCACATTTGCATCCAAAGGACTGTTTCCAACAGTACCCTATTATGGCTAAGCTGCGTTGAAATGCTTGCAACTACAGTATAACTGTACAAAGTAAATATTTTGTCTGTAATAGTTCACTTTTCTGCCATGTTTTTTCTTCAGCACTCTATGAGAATCTAAAGCCTTTGAGTGACAAACTAACCCAGAAACTTATCACAACTTTTAAATTTGTTAGGAAATTGAAGAGAAAAAACCCATTAAAGTGTTATTCTCAAATCTGGATATTCATTGTTCCTGTGGCTGCAAAACCATGTTAAGTGAAGAATTTTTATGTAAAAATTTTTCTTTGTCAAAATAACACCTGCTGAATTTTTTTCTCCTATTTACTATAACAGCATTAAACAAAAACACTTTCGGATTCAAATCATTCCTCTTTACTATATATATATATATACTTTTGTAGGGGTTAGAAATATATTACGATCTCAATTGCCTTTTTTTTTTAACATCACCCCTCTGAAAGGCCTGAAAGAGTTAATAGTCTTTATTATAAAAAAATTAAAATCTTACATCATATGTCCGATGCTCCACTGATATAAAAAAGGTCCTTTTATCCTCCCCTTCTCTTTTTTTTTTTCCTTATGAAAACTAGGATACATACAAACTCATAAACAGACCACATTTTCATGCAGGAAAACTAGACAAAAGTGCAATAAATAAACAAACAAAATAAAATTAACTCAAAAGGAACTGACAACAGGGCTGGTCTTCACACAAAAAATTTCATGCATGCACATCTAACAGCAGTGGGGACTGAGACCAATTCAATTTTCAGGGCTTCAAATAAAGACACACAGATAAATGGAAAATGCTGAGGAAAATGCAATGTCAATGGACGTCAACTGCATACATAAAAAAAGGCAATCATGCAAAAGCCAGTGTAGCACTGGGTTGGAGTTTGTTGACTGGTCACTGGCACCTTTCAGTCCACATGATAGTGTATTACAGAGAGGCAGAGCCAGTTAGGGTCAGTGGTGAAGCTCCTCATCTCCACAACACAAAGCCTAGGCAGATTACAGAGACCATATGTTGCTGATGCAGCACAATTCATCTCTCAATCTGCTCAGTTAATTAGAAAGGAAAGGTAACACCAATACTTTTGGAGAGAAAACATGCAGCAGAAGCTGCCAGATCAGAAGAGCAGTTTCTCTTTCTACCCCTTACTGGAGCTTTCCTCCTAGATCAGCTGCCAATCAAGGCTAAGAGGCTGGTCTATCCTGCTATAACATTAGGTTATCATGCAGCATTTCCTCACCCTAAGATAGAAGCATGCCTTCTTTAGGGCTCACATGACTTTGGCAATGAATCTGATTTAATAGTTAAAACTATCATTCTCAGAATTACCTCCAGATATTTACTGTAATATTCTGAGATAGAAGTTAAGATCATTCAAAAAAAGACCACTCATTGGGTGGTTTTCAAACCCTTATCTAAAAAAATCTACTTTTGGACACCAAAGATCTATGTTTAGACTAGAGCTAGTTCAAAACATCTAGAAATGTTAAGATGCCAGCATTTCTGTGAGGTAACTCTACTGAACCTGGAACTATGTAATATGAACCAATTAAATCAGTGAGCTACTACCAGGGCCAACAACTCACCTTTTGCTGCAGGTGATGCTTTTGCTGAAACAAGAGTCACTCCCCCTTCACTGTTGGTGGACATATCATCTGTGGCTGTGTCTGGAATCTCTGAGCTGCCAACTTTATTAAAGTTTGGGCGACTGGGGTCATATGAGGTTTGTGAAACTGATGAGGAGGAGTCGGAATTACTGTCCCTTCTGTGGAAAATATGACACACGTGTATCCATTAGTTTGGTCAAAAACGCCAAAAAAATGTGTGGTTAGTGTGGGGGCTTACATGATACAGGGGTCCTGGTTCAACCACCCCCCCCCCCCTCTCTCCGAATTTTTTTTTTAAAACAAAAAAGTTTTTAGTGGAAAGAATCAACTTTACTACACCAGGTTTTATCGTACGAAGCTCTGCCTCCTTCTGAGGAACAGATGGCCACCTTCCGAGAGCATCACACAAAGCACAGACTTTTAAATATATGAGAATCTTTCCCCCTTTACTAGCTCTATATATCTATATGTGTACGAGAGAAATATACCGCAATTAGAAGCTTTAATATACCTATATCTAGATATTTGACAAAATAGGTGAACATTAATGAGGAACAGGCTGGTAGTCTTATCTCTATGTTGGGACTGAGACTTTATGTGAGACAGATTTTTAAATAAAGGCAGCTGTTTTATGAACAAACACTCCTTTAGTGACTGACTCATTCCTAATCCAAACAGCTGTTTGTGAACCAACTCTCCTTTAGTGACTGACTCATTCCTAATCCAGATAGCTGTTTTAAGAACAAACTCTCATTAAGTAACTGACTTATGTCTAATCCAGACAGCTGTTTTGTGAACTAACTCTCATTTAGTGACTAACCCATTCCTAACCCAGACAGGCGCTGCTAATGCTCATTCTGTCACTGACAGTTGTTACATGTTTTACCTCTCACCCAAATGTATATGGCTCTAAAGTGACAGCCAATTAACACACTGTCCATTTCCTGGTATTTAATTAAAGAGTTAAAGTAAGCGGGACAAGAAACACATTCAAGTTAAACAATCTGAGGTTGGCCGAAAGGTGACCTTTAAGACATCAGCAGATGCTAACATATGCACAGTAACATCATCAAATCTTTAAAAGATGCAGTGCAAACATTTCATACTGTCACTACAACAGGCAAATTTAGCTCAAATAAAACAGGCACAATGGCACAAAGATAACAGCTTCTGGTCTATTTAGTCACAGTGTAATGAGAAAGTAAATGCATGCATATGACATTTAGATAAAGTACAGAATCAAATGTAAACAGGTTGTTCCTAAATTCACACACTCTCTCTCTCTCTGTCTCTCTCTCTCACACACACATACACACACCCAGTCACTCATTCTCTTGCACAAGCACACACACACATGGATTAAGACATTTACTAACATATATTTAAGAATAATAATTGCAAGAAGAAGGCCATAAGTGATGCAAAAGGTAAGAGAGGTCAAGGACTCTGTTCAGGCCTTTGGCACATCAGACACAAAGTGCTAGACCTTTAGTTTTATAGACAGACTGTTACTCGGTTGGTGATGTACTGAACATCATGCTGGCTACCTTTACTTCCTAAGACAATTCCTCATATCCATTTTACGCATGATCAACCTGGGAGCCAAGGTCAATTAAACAAACAACAAAATCTGCCTCAATGAGGATTTATACCCTAGACCTTCAGGTAGGCAAGTAGTGGCTAGCCCCTAGCACTTGTATGTGATTAGAGCTATTCTTCACATGACTAACCAAATGTATGTGATTAGAGCTATTCTTCACATGACTAACCAAATGTATGTGATTAGAGCTATTCTTCACATGACTAACCAAATGTATGTGATTAGAGCTATTCTTCACATGACTAACCAAATGTATGTGATTAGTGCTTTTCTCTATATTACTAACCACTTGTATGTGATTATAGCTGTTCTCTACATGACTAACCACTTGTACGTGATTACATGGTCTCCCCATGATAAACAATTTGTATGTGATTACAGGATTTGTTCCTCACGTCTGAAATTGTATGTGATTACAGCTTTTCTCTACAAGACTAACCACTTGTATGTGATTACAGCTATTCTCTACAAGACTAACCACTTGTATGTGATTACAGCTATTCTCTACAAGACTAACCACTTGTATGTGATTACAAGATTTGTTCCTCATGTCGGAACTTGTATGTGTTTACAGGATATGTCCACATGACAAACCATTTCTATGTCATTATGGAATTTATGTCTATTAGTTACATTTCAATGCTAGTGTTGTTTCAGTTTTGATATGTGCCACTGGGAGTTGGGGAACCACTGAAGACATGGGGCGAAAGCTGAGTGTATTCAATGATAAAATCCCGGAGGAACCGGTGAGCATTAAATGGGATGAGTTCAAGTGTAGTGAAGAGGTAACAGATTTGTCTGGGCAATAGATGGTATTAACAGTTTATAAGCCAAGGAGGACGGTGGCATATTGGGCACGTCCTGAAAAAAAGGCAGGCAGAGAAATACCAGGCCGGAAACTTACAAAGGAAATAAATGGTTTGTCAAAACCTTACTATTAACATTGATGAGAGAGTCTAGGAATGTTGGACTGGATTCCATCCATGATGTTTAAAAGTGTGCACAAGATAGAACACAATGGGAGAGTAGACTGTGAGCCCGATGTGACGTATAGCAGCGCTGATGATGATGATTACAGAGCCAGGACTCCCAACAGAGACTACCTGCAAGTGGGCCCAGAATATGTGTAATGAGCAACCAAGGATACAAAAAAAAAAGCTGACACATGTCTTGTGTAAATTCATGATACAGAAAAGGGGGGGGGAGAGGGGTGTTAGTGAAACTAGGTGAAAAATGGCACTCTATGGAAATGTGCAAGGGACAGATAACAAGGGAAATATCATGACAAACTTTGACTGTCTGCACTTATGAAACATGACACACGATGATGATTATACAACTGACCACTTGTGAGTGGATATAGGATGACTTCAGTGACACCTTTCCTGTTACAATCAGCAACTTCACAATCGAGACCACTGATATAATAACAAGGGCACAGACAGGGCTTGGTACTCAAGAACTGACATGTGTGTTCATACTGTATGACTCAATCAACATAGAAAATCCAGGCAATGTAAATAGTGACATGCAATATCAAGGCAAAATAACTGTAATCAAGCTTGAAGTAAATCAAAAATACACATGCTAGATTAGCCATGATAACACAAAATATACAACATTATCATAAGTGGAAAATATATGAGCAAATCAAAGTTCTTCAATTATATTTCACATCTGTTATCAAAAGCTCATTCCAGAGCAAGAGCTGCTAGTTCTATTTACCAGATTTCTATTTCTTGTTAAATATATTGTTGTTGCTAATAAGGGGTGAAGGTTGTTTAGACCAGTTGCATTTATCTGTTAACTCAAAGCCTGGGTATGAATCAAGATGCTGAATTCAACAAAATATGACACCAGGGGATATTTCAATCCCAATTTATTCTTCAATAGTGGATCAGATGCCTAACTTCCTCAGGTGACAGCATACAACTAGCAGGACTTGTTGCAGATGTTTTACAATTCTTCTGCAGGAGAAACTGAAGTGTAGGATCAGCAGGCTGCTGGCCATGTTAAATAGTTCACATACGCAACCTATTCACCAAAGAAAGACTAGATGTCTGGTTCTTGTGCCTCCATTATGGGTTCTTGACAGTAATTATTCACAAAAGCAAGACAGTTTATTTTTTTCAGTATCCAGAAACCATGAGTTGTTAAATAAGCCTCTGGCTCAGTACTATGTATATCGCAACCCTTCGGCCTTGATTCCATAACAGGTACCGTAAATCTGGGATAAATGTGGCTTTCCTGCCTAGCCTCTTGCCTTAACCCGGACCACAAGGAGTTTGTCACCCAGTCGGCACATAGAGGGCTTTAACCAACAGAGCTAGCCAGCCAGGCAAAGCAAGACTATAGATATGTGGTTCTTGTAGCTCTATTTCGGGTCCTTGACAGTGTTATCAAGTTTGTGCACTGTGCTGTGATTACCCTTGTGTAACCTACAGAAGACCTGTGTCTATGGAGGTCAATGAAAGTTTTCCTTTACAAATAAAACCAAAACTGTCTGATGCAGAGGTCTGTCACAATTTTATGTTTTGTCTGTGTTTTTCTTTTGTCCGGTCCCTTAGTGACCTAACTCCAATCAATTTGTTTGTTTGTTGTACAATATAATTATACTGCGGTACTTTCTGTGGTGGCATTCTCCCATGCCCAGAAAGCCAGACCTCAGTCAAATGTACTAGAAATCCTACCATAACAACAGAAGCCAAACTCCATGCAAAACCAAAAATCTGATCAAAGGAGACAGTAAATGCAAAGAAGCCAAATGCAAAATGATTAGTGCAGAAATAAAACCACACATGGTAAACAAAAAGGAACACAAAATTATTACAAGGCTGACTGTGAAATCTCTAAGCTGGAAATTGGTTGCAGTGAACATGTGGATGCTAAAATTTACTTCTGCCTTTGGCAATATTATAAGCGGGCTTCAAATGAAATCCTTAAAACAGGAGTGGTCATCTTTAACTGTCATTATATTGTCACCGTGTTTTTTTTCCTGCATCATGTCACATGCTTAACACTCTTGTTATCCTTAACAATTCTGACAGGTTGCAAGACAATGGCATGGTTACTGCCATTTCTACCACACTTTGAAGGTTTTCATTTGAATCCCTATCATAAATTAGGCAGAGGCCCCAATCTCTTCTATGATGTGACTCACACCACTGTCTGAAAGCCACAGGAGCAGTCATTTTTTAAACTGTCAGCTGCAGAAACTGAACCTGAACACACTACCCTCTATGCCATAGACATAAGCAAAACATGTGGAACAAAAAACATCAGAAACCAGAAGCATTTGTTACAGCAAGGTTAAACATCAGGCACAGAAAAATATCTGAGGGGTAAAGGACATTGCCAGAACATATAAACAAATAAAAAAAGTCAGTCACAAAATGCAGAAAAGGAAAATTTGGCAAGCCAACAACACTGAACGACATCAAACATCTGATTGGTTGCCAGTGACGGTTACCTAGACAGCTGTGGGCTGATATGACTTGATCTCACTGGCTTAGGAGCAACTGGGGGCTTTATAACAGTTGCTGTGTTGTGATTGGCTGG